TTATTTTTTTGGTAGTTTATGGATTATGATGAGAATGATGGAGTTCCTCCTCCGCCAGTAGCTGGAGGTGGAGGGCCTCCACCACCACCTTCAGGAGGCCTGCTGCCACCACCGATAGTACTACCAGCAGTAGCTGGAGGCCCGCCACCTCCAGCACCGCCAGTAGCTGGAGATGGAGGGCCTCCACCACCTCCTTCTGGAGGCCTGCCACCACTACCAGCAATACCGGCAGTAGCTTGAGGCCCGCCACCTCCAGCGCTACCAGTAGCTGGAGATAGAAGGCCTCCAGCACCACCTCCAGGAGGTACGCCACCACCACCAGCACTATTGCTACACAGCATAAGGACATCAATATGTATCAGAAAATGTATTAAAAATTAGGGGTGATTTCGGAGCCATTTTTTGGAAAAACCATGGTATACCGGCAATAGCTTGAAGCCCGCCACCTCCACCACCACCTCCAGTAGTAATCCTTTTACCTGGAGGCCTGCCACCTCCTGCAGCTCCACCTGGATGAGAGTCCAATGTGAGTTTAATGATACTGGTAATGAGTGATATGTCATTTATAGCATATTTGTATACATACATAAACTGAAGCCATAGTGTCATTGGTATATGCAAACATCATTTGGCAACTTCGCCAAGTGAATCGTAAAATTGTCAGATTTACAAATAATTTGCAGTACCATTTTAATCAACTCTCTCATTTTACTTTAGTACAATAATATTCCAAGAGCCAGGCCTTCCAGAGGCCATAGGTGCAGGAGAAACACCTATACTAAGAACTATAACTTTTATTAATTAGATCTACATGTAAAGTAATAACTTTTTTCCTTAATTATAACATGATAAAAAGTCAATTATCTTTCAGCGTAAAGCCAAATTAGAAAGTACAATAGAAATGCTCAAGATTAATAGTCTTCAAATAGGCAAAACAACTCAAATACTTGAGCTTCAATCTTCCTACAATGTGATATACATAACTTAAAATGAGTAACGAAAATACTGTAACTGTGGCCATGATTAATGAGATAATCATCAGAAGAATTATAGCCTTGGATCATAATCTATAACACAATGATAAAAAACTGTGGAATCTCACAATATTCTATCTTACTATGTATTCAGTTGCTAAGACTATGCGGATATGAAACCTATGCCGCTGGAAACTGGCCCATCATTTAGTGTGAAAGCACAACTGATGAAAGAGCTACAATGAAACATAATGTTACAATGATGATTATTATTACAAATAAATTTAGTTACCACAAATGAAATCAGACAATATCCTTATACATTCACGATGGTATGAAAGTATTACATTACACCTTATTGTTGAATCATTAAATCATTTGCAGCTGTAAATACCTAAAAGCAAAGTAAAAAAGAAACATCATCAACAGCAAGCAATGTAAACACACAGGATATATATGCTATACTAAATATGTTAATGTATATGCATGATATAACTTATATTTGTCACAAACATACATTACAAACCACTAAAAAGATACATTTGCTCAAAAAGAGGAATAACCCTTCACCATTTAAATCTCTTTCCAAGTCTGACCTTATTCTTTAACACCACATTGCAGTACTTGTGTAAAATATGTACCTGCGCAAATTATGAATGTGAATTAATAAATGTAGTAACAAATTAACAATAGAATACATGCTTTTAGCAACAATTAATATACATATATCACATGTTTAGCTCCACAATGCCAGGCTTTTACCAGTTCCAGCACCACCTGTTATAAACATACAAAAAGGGCTGGGCATTGACTCTCTGGACCCCTTTTGAAAATCATGTACTGTTCTTGAATACTCAAGGACCTTCTCATTAGGGACTCTCTGGGAATCATTAAGACCGCTATCTTTGCTTCAAAATCTGAGTCTGAAAAGCAATGCCTTGAGATTGAGTCTAGAGTAAATGCATCTTCTATGTCACCAATATTTTGTTTTATATGTTGACTGCATTAATTTTGATGATCATTATTATCATCAGCTAGTAATGCAGCTACATCATCGAGATATAACTCATGGTCATATATTGGATCATGACCATCACCTTCATTATTTTTTTCTAAATTTACGTGTGAAGTACAAGGAGCAACAGGAGCGTACACAGCATTGCCACATTGATTTAGTACACGTAATTGCTCCATCGCTCTTTGTACTTCATTAGCAAAAGATTGTTGTTCTGTACTTAATACTTGTAATTCATCTTTATTTGCTACAAATGATGCTTGAGCAGAGCCATGATTTCCAATTAAAGCAAGAGTCTCATTTCTCCATGGGAGATAAAGAAAGATTAACTGATAAAAGTAACTATCACCATGAGATTCTTGTGTTATTGTCGGTAATCTCAAGCATGCATGCTTTCGTTTTAGCTATATCTTTTGTAGACCATTGTTTAGTTCATATCTTAGTTGGACAAGGAAAGTTGTTGGCT